GCTTGAAAAATATTTTCCAGCCCTTTACTCTGAGGTAGTGTTTATCTTTGTTGCAGAGGTGTGTTTCTTGGATGCAGCAGAAGGTTTGATCCTGTTTCTGCAACTATTCTGTTAGTCTGTGTCTTTTTATTGGAGAGTTGAGTCCCTTGTTTATAGATAATAGTGACCAATGAATGTTAGTTCCTTTTATTGTGGAAGCTGGTGGTGTTACTCTATTTCAAGGCTTGTTTTCTTTTAATGTTATGTTGTGAAGTTATCTATACCCTGTTTTTCCTTCCATATAGTTGTTTTTGTTGGATTGCATTTTTCCTTCTAGTAGCTTCTGTAGGGATGGTTTGCTGTGTAGATATAGTTTAAGTTTAGTTTTGTCACGGAACATTTTGTTTTCTCCATCTATGTTGATTGGAAGCAGTAGTTTGGGTTGGCATCTGTGGTATCTTAGAATCTGCATGGCTTCTGAGCAGGCTCTACTGTCTTTCACAGTTTCTGCTGAGAAGTCTGATGTGATTCAGGTAGGTCTGCCTTTATATGTTACTTAGAATTTTCCCCTCGCTGCTTTTAGTATGCTTCCTTGATTTAGTGTTTTGACTATGATGTGACATGAGGAGTTTCTTTTTTGGTCTAGTATATTTGGTGTTCTGTAGGCCTCCTGTGTGTTTATGGACATCTACTTCTTAAGTTGGGAAAATTTTCTTCTATGATTTTCTTGAAAATATTTTCTGGGCCTTAGAGCCTGTAATCTTCTTTTTCATCTGTTCCTATTTTTCTTAGATTTAGTCTTTTCAAAGCATCCTTAATTTGTTGGATGTTTTGTGTTTGGAACTTTTCCAATTTTACTTTTTCTTTGAGAGATGATTCAATTTCTGCAGAAATGGCATGTAGATGCCTAGAATGCAAGGCTTAATTAAGCACAGGAGGGAGTGTGTGTGCAGGCACTGTTCACAGTTGCAATGAACATGGACAGATGCCTTGAATACCTCAATGGCCTACCGGCCTTTTTTACTGTCCTCCTGGTATTCAGATCTGTCTTAGCTCCAGGAATTCTTTGCCTGGGCTCCACTGATAGACTCCTAAACAGGGGCTTCAATGTTGAGAATGCCGTCCCAACGATCCCTCTGTTTACAAAAGTGGTAGTGTGGGTAGGAGGGATCCAATATCTGGCTGATAGCATAGATGGACACTGGATTTGGGACTCTTCATGTACTTACTTGAAGGTGCATTCACTCACTCACAGGCCTAATCAGAAAGCACAGGGGTTCCCCCTGTTCTCTACTCTAAGATTTGGGCCTGTTGGGTCAAATGAGAGTGTAGGAGATCCTTCAGCTCAGTGGTGTTCATTGTGTTTCTGCTGGGCATGGAGACCCATACTTAGGGTAGCCACTTCTTTTGTTTCAGTCAGGAAGCATGAAGTTCCTGGAGGGCTAGATGCCACACAGCCATCACTGTAGGAGACCTGGAAAGCCCAAACATCACTCACGGGGAGGCCCTTACAACTGCCTGCTATTGCAGCAGAACTGGGAAGCTAGGACAGTCACCCACTGGGGGCCCCTGGATATCCTGTACAGCTGACTGCAGATCTGGGTGGCCCATACAGCCATCTGCCACCACAGGATCCAAAACTCTAAAATTGGTGAGTGGAGGGGCAGCTAAAGCCAGAACATAGACAATGAGGCTTCCTGGGTAAGATGGGACAACCTGTGAGCTGCGGAATTTTGGATCCAGGTCACCCATGGATGTTTCTGGGGACTGAGAGTGCAAATATTCAACCTCCCTGTATTTTCCTTTGCCTCAAGCATGGGCCTCCCTGTTTGGCAGAGGCAGCAGTGGTTGCCCCAAGCAGGTGCCTCCATGCTAGGTAAGAGATAACGCAGATAACTCACAATTATGGGTCTCCCTGCCTGGAGGCCAAACAGTGGACATCACTGAGCTGATGGATCTCCTACACTTTCCTTTTCCCTTACAGGCCCATGTCTGAGAGCAGAGAACTGGTGGAACCCTGTACTTTCTGATTATGCCTTCAAGTGAGTGCATGAAGAACCCAAGATCCAGGGCCCATCTATACTATCAGCCAGACATCATATCCCTCTCACCCACACCTTCACTGTGGGCAACAGAGGGATCCTTGGTACAGCATTCTCAACATTGAAGCCCCTGTTCTGGGTGTCTACCAGTGGAGTCCAAGCAAACCATTCCTGGAGCGCAGACAGATCTGAATACCAGTAGGATAGTATGACAGGCCTGCAGGCCACTAAGGTATTCAGGAAACCTGCCCATGTGCATTGAGCCTGTGAACAGTGCCAGGATCCTCCACACCTCCTTCTAGACATCTACACAACCTAAAACCCTGTCCTTCAATATGCACATACCTGCACCTGTGCTCTTGCACCTGCAACCTTGCTCTGTTAGCTACAGCTGAAACATCACCATCCACTGACAAACTGGTGGGCCTCTCTCATCTTCCTGAGTAATAATCCAGACACTAGAAACAGACAGACCCTGTCTGAAGGAACACAGTCTGAAGTACAGACTCCAGGAGCAAACAGTGAAGGTGACAGATAAGCAGATGGCTAGAGGTCTGCGTAAGAACACATCCAAAAAATAAAAATAAGAAAAAATCAGGGCATAATGGCTTCACAAGCAACCCCAAAAGTCAAAAGATATGCTAATTTATCAGAAACACAGGAAAATGATCTCAAATCTATCCTTATCCAGTTATTAGAGGCACATAAAGAAGAAACGAATGAAGCTCTCAAAGAAATACAGGCAAATACAGCCAAAAAATTGGAGGCACATGTAGTGGCACAAGTAGAGGCATATAGAGAGGAAATGAACAAACAAAAGAATAAAGGCCATCATGGTAGAACAGGAATTCACATTCAAACAGACAAAGGAAATGGTGAAGATATGAAAACCGAATTAGAATCAATAAAGAAAACAGAAACAGAGAAAACCCTGGAGCTAGAAAACTTAGAGAAAAGATCAGAAAGTACAAAGAAAAGCATCACCAACAGAATAGAAGGGATGGAAGAGAGAATCTCAGCCAGTGAAGATACACTTGTAGAAATTGATACATCTCTCAGAGAAAAAGTAAAATTGGAAAAGTTCCAAACACAAAACATCCAATAAATCAAGGATGCCATGAAAAGTCAAAATCTAAGAAAAATAGGAATAGATGAAAAAGAATATTCCAGGCTCTAAGGTCCAGAAAATACTTTCAAGAAAATCATAGAAGAAATTTTTCCTAACTTAAGAAAGAACTGTCCATAAACATACAGAAGGTCTACAGAACACCAAATATACTGGACCAAAAAAGAAATTCCTCATGTTATATAATAGTCAAAACACTAAATCTACAGAACAAAGAATAAGCACAGTGTTCATCCATACACACATTGTGAACATACATGACACAGATGTAACATACATGACATACAAGTAACATATATGACATAACTTGAACATACACAAAGATATGTCACCACTCTATTCATATATATGTGTGTGTTGTGTCCTGAACATACACAAAAATACATGCACACACAGACAAACACAGACACGCACACACAAATTCCCACTGATGGTTAGTAGGATATACTTTGATGTTCTGGGTTGTGACATGGCCACAGTCCTGCAACTGAAGAAAAGTAAATAGGATCAAAGCATGGAAAAGTTCTGTTTTGAAACAACTTATACTTCTAATTTTATACCAAAAGAATGGCTCTTGTGACCTAGTCTAGACCATGTAACCTTGGTAGTTCTGGAGAATCTTGAACTTATGCTTCTGCCATTAGCTCCCAGTTCTGTGTTATTATGGCATATTTCAGGAGTGCTACAAGTTGAATCCAGGACCTTGTGCTTGAAACACAAGCTCTTCCTCAACTGAGCTATGTCCCCAGACATAAGCCTCTAATGTTTCACTCTGTGAAGGCCAGTAGTTCTTAGTGTAGAGGTGAGATTGTGACAGTGAGAAATATGGACAAAGGTCTGGGACCCAGCACTCATTCCTAGTACTCCTCATAGACAGAGTCAGTGTCTCCCATATATCTTTGCACATGTTTTCCAGAGCCACTTGTGAAATATCTCTTTATTAAAAGGAACCAGTAATCTTGGAGCTGTGATGATAACCATATGAATAGTCCTTGAGGGTATTCATATGTAAAACAAAGTCAAAAGGAATAATCAATATTACCCCAAGATTTTACACCTCATTTGATCTCTGTGGCTTCATATCTGGATCTCATATACTTTATGAGGCAGGTTCTGGTCCTTTCACTATATTGCTGCATTCCTCTTAATGTAAACTCTGTGGAAGGGTCAAGGCTTATACAAAATGCAAGAATCACACTGACTTGAAGCTGGTCTGACCTGGAGATCAATCTGATCATACTACTTGTGATATCACTAAACACAACCTGGGAGAAGAAACCACCTCCCTAGGCAGGTAAGAATCCTAATACCTAGGCAGAATCCCAGGATAAAAGATGCTTAGTTTACCTATCTTACACGGCCTTTTCTTTATTCAGATCTCTAACGGAAACTTAGTAATTGATACTGGTGAAGAACAAAGTAACATGTAATAAGCATTGATTAAACTAATGGATTCTATACTCTGTCTATTACTTCTGTTCCCAATGATATAGGAGATAGAATCCAGGGTTTCACGCACGCTGAGCTCACACTCTGACCCTGATGTACACCCCAGTCCTACTTCCACTATTCTCTCAAGAACCTTGGAAAGTACATTGTATTAAAATCAACAGATATTATGTAAAACGACCAGTAATGGTCAATACCCTCATAGAACATAAATGACCAGGTTGTAAATGAAAGAAAACTTATCTTCACTGCCCACTGCTTTCTATTTACATAGTTATTATGAACTTTTAGGAAAGTGACCGATGATGCTGAAATTCCAAGTAGATCAGCAAAGATGAGAAACCTTATCAGCTCTAGGTCCTGGCTGAGACCAACGTCTTGATCCATTGTACAAAGATACATACGCAGAAGAGAGAAGTGTCCTCTCTATGAGGATAGAACCCCCTCCTGGAGCAGCAGGAAATTTCATTTATCCCAGTAGGTGTCTGTGAGAAAATTCCAGTTCTGAAACGAAAAAGCAGAGTCATAGTCAAGCAGATATGCCCCTAGGTTTCTTCTGTCTCTCCCGTTTACCTTTCTCTCATCTTTTCTTCCTTCTTTAATTTTCGTTTCCTGTTTCTTCTACTTTCCTGGATCTCTTTCTCCCTTTTACTCTTTCACTCTCTCTTCTCACCCCTCCTCCTATCTCTTTTCTCTGCACAACTCTTCTTCCCATCTCTAGAACCTTTGCATCTCCTCCTACTCCGATTCAAAGCCATCACTGTCATCTTTATCCTTCTCCCAGACATTGTCCTCCTGGTGCTATTCCTAATCATTTTCTTCTTCTTCTTCTTTCTTTTTTTCTTTCTCCTTTCCCCTTCATTATTTCATTTTGCTTTTTCTTTCTCCTCCTGGTTCTCATATGCCTCCTCTTGCCTTTGTTCGTCTGCATCCCCTCTGTCTAGCTCTCTCATATTCTGAATATCTTTATTTCACCATAGCCAAAGTGGGCAGGGGGATTCAACAGAAGAAATGATTAGGAAGAAGAACCAAGTAAAGCATTAGGTCTATTTAGATCAATAATGTAAGGAACCAGGGCCGAAAAAAATTCTAAATTCGGAGTCTTTTTGTTACTGTGGGAAAACATCCAGGGTACGTTTTTTGTTTTTTGGTTTTTTTTTTTTAACAAAAGGAAGCAGGATAATTCATTGTTTTTTCCAATACTAGATCTGCTGAGGAATTCACAATAACTTGACGTTGGGAATGAAAAGAGAGGACACTCATGTAGAGTGTTTGGTGTAGAATTTCAATCTCAGTCTCTTGAGGTTACTTCTTGATAATTTGTCCTAGAAATTAAGCAGTGATATCAACATATTTTTAAGAGCAGCTGGTATTAATTAGAATATTGCTCTTAACGGAATAGCAATCAGTTAATACACTCTATAAATTTTAAATAATTTTCAACCATGAAAACATTTTGCCCTTGTACCTTCCAGATCTGAATCTTACACACTCACTCTTTGTATTTGGGGACTCACACCACTGCGATGGACTCAGGCAGCATCTGCTGGTAGCAAAAGTGGGTGTGTAGGTCCACACTTGATAAGAATGCTCTCTGGGTTGGATGGGTCTACAAAAACAAAAGAAGAATTGCAAGTGAGCATAGTCAGTCAGGTCAGATCCACCAAGAAAGGCAAGCCCATCCAGATTCAACAATTAGCCCCTACCACGATCCCTCAAATCATTCAGGGGAAACTCATCTGCTAGATGGAGAAGGAAGAAAGAACAGTCTGCTTTGTACTCCTAACACATAGAGGCCAAAAGAAGCTAAGTTTCTCTCTGTCATGTTTAGCTTGTCCCTCACTGAGAACAAGACTCTTTTATTCATCCATGCTTAGTTATATCTAATGTCTAAATGATAACCATTTCAAGAGTTGTCCTTCAGCTTCTAACCTACAACTGCTTCCCTGCTGCAAACAGCAGACAGTCCTTCCTCATCAAGCTTTCGGATGACCACTACAAATAATGATTCAACAATCTCTCTGGGGCTTCAGTTGTCTGCCTTCACTCCTGCCTCTGAACCTCATGTGAATACTCCCTATGTGAAGAGGAGTTCCTTCTGCCCTTCAGATGTGGTACTGTACTATTGTTCCTTGATTTACCCCACTTTCCTTTTCTTCTCTCCCCTTTTTAACTGAATCAATAGTCTAAAAACACATCAGACAGCTGCATGCCAGAGTAGAGATGAATCCCGCAGATGTTAAGCCAAGGAAGGCAAAGGTAAAAGTTACATATCTAGCCATTGCATTCCAAGTATTGTTGGCATGGAGGAGGGCACACTAGGATGTGATCATTAATGAAATTCATGAATAGATGGTGAAAGCAAAATTTAATCTGGAGGAATGAAGGAAGGAATTTGGACTAGGCTCCTGGTATATTCCTGTTTCCTTCTCTAAGTTATGTGTTCTTTTCATATTTATTCAATGAGCTATTAAACTGTACTATTCATGTATATATACTTACAAGTTAGCAATATTTTAAATATCACTCTTTAAAAATCTAAAGTGAAGTCAAAGAAAAAGTAAAATCAAGAAAATCCACACCAACATATAAAACCATGTTAATACCAATTTACAGTTTCCTCTCATGTCAGTACTCTCTTAACCAAGTTCTGTCAAGAATAGACTCATAATTATTCCTTTTTCAAGAATCTAGGGATCAGATCCAAGTTTAGTATGACAGTAATGACAGATTCTAAAAATAGCCTCAACCTACATCAGATGACTTTTGTTTTGAGGCACAGTCTTACTATTAGCCCAGGTTGATTCTGAAGTCACCATCCAGCAGCCTCATCCTCCTGAGTGGTAAAATTCCATGAGGGTGCCATGATACACATATTTCTAAGAATCTGCTAAACCTTGAAATCTCTACCCACCGTGACCTAAAATACATTAGCCAATATCCTCAGAACCCCAACAGGAGATATGAATACTCTCCCTGCTGGAGATTGTAAGTCACATGCTGAATTAATTCTTCAACTCTCCTTGCTGTGTGGTTTTGGAGAACCTCCTAACCAGTACTCCTGCAGCATTGTTGCTGTTTCATCACCCACTGTGTTCCATGTTCTCCTTGTTAGACCTCCACGTCAGCTGCCAGGGAATAGATTCTCTAGCAGTCAGCTCTCCCCATCTACCCCATTTCCTAGGCCAAGTCTATGCAACAGCCTCCCAAGTCCCTCTCCTGGTTTCTACTGGCTTGCCAAAACTTCCTTCCAATGGCCATATAGATTTTGATATCTCACATATACCTTAAATTTCACACAGTAAGAATTAACTCCACTTCCCATCTCAGTCCTTCTCTAGAAGCCCTATTGATCCTTATGAGAGGATCACTAACATCACCATGAGCCCAGCTAAAAGCCTGCTCTGTCCCAGACTCATCAGCCTCTGGTCCTCATTACTAGGATCTCTGAAATCTCACTCTTCCTCAACAGACTGCTACTATCCTATCATTGGATGTTAGCAGCTACCAAACCTTAACTGATCTTCACATCTCAATCAGTCTTGTATCTTTAACTTTTGGACTATGGTTTTGGTCAGGAAATGGTTCTACCCAGAATAACTCAAACAGTTCTTCCTCTATTCAAAATCACCACTATTTTTTCTGTCTACACCAGTCAGTGGATACCATGGCTTTGATAGTTCATATCAACAAATATATGTCATCCTGTTCTGATACCAAACACCAACAGAACTGCTCACTGATGGAGGAGCACAGTATAGGTATCCAATGTTGACTCCTCTCCCATGAACCCCTTCTGTCCCATCTTTACAATTCATCTTAAGTCACTTCAAGTGTGGCCCTCTTCTCTGAAACTCACAGGGATCTAGATATCTCCTGAAAACTGCAGTCCAAAATACCTCATCTGAATTGGTACTAGGTTATGTGTGATCGCCCATTTGTGTTACTAGACACAAAGGGCCAAATTTTGATTATTACATACTATGTTGTTGATTTAGACAAAACAGTAAGAAATTGTATTGAGCTGAAAATCATGAAGTCACAGAAGACTGCTTCAGAAAGCTCAACTTCTCAAGTTCTGAGTATAAGTATATGTGATATCTTAAAACCTAGAAATAAACCACGTGATTGTAGTTTACACCTGTCAATATTCCAAGAAAAGCTTTTTGTTCTGTGAGCTTCAGTACTTGATAATGAGAGAACCATTCCGAAGAAATCTCTAGGCAAGTTGCTGTATTTATTGAAAATCAACAAAAGTATGTTCAGCATGTACAAACACTTGAAAACCTCACAGGTAGGATATCTTTGGGTGTGCAGAAAGAAAGTAAGTCTTCATAAATAAAAAAAAAAAACATAACTTTACAAGTAACTCTCTTGTATTATTTAAAATAGTGTAATTAATAATATTTGGGGGGACATGTTTTCTATGCCATGTTCCTTTACATCCTAGGCAAGGTGCTGTTCTTGGCCCAGACTCTCAAAGCATAGCGACTTTGTAGAATTGCTTTGATTAAAGGAAAAATTTAAAAAGTTGTAAAAAACAATAGGAAATGGTCCTATGACTCATCCTGGAACAATCTTGACTGCATGTTTAAACAGAAGAATGATATGGATTTACTCTGTGCAGAGAAAGATTTAGGCAGGATATTTCTAAGAGAGAAAAAAGAGAACCCTGCCATCAGGTTATTTGCTTACATGAATCCACCCTAAGGTGAGAAGCCCTAGTTCTTCTTGGATAAAAAACAGTTCCTCCTCATTGGTGGCATAACAATAGTCAGGGCCTCCTTCCTGGGGTGGTATGACTATGTGCATGATATGGTACTCCTCTCCTACCTGCCAAGAGAAAATAAGTTATTAAAATATCCTAGCAGTCTCAATCCCACTCATTCATAACACAAGTAAGTGAATCCCTCACCCAAGTGAATGACCCTTACTGTTCTCCCTCCCCTCAGTGTTTCACAATCTTGGGAGATCTTGTAGGTTCTGTATAAAGAAACAGATGCTGAGATGACCCTGAGAAGTCCTGCTTGGCACATCCTAGTCCTAGACTCCTCCTGCAGCTGCCAGCAGTTCCACTCAGGAAGCTGAGATGTTTGTAATGTAAGTTTCAAGGCTTACCAGATTAGGTGCTCAGAGCAGGACCCAAAAGTAATTGAGTCCTCCTTTTTCTTTTAGAATAGTCACCATGCATGTCTATATGCCTCATTCCTGCCTAACTGCCTGTCTACTTGCTGCTCTGCTCTCTTTGCCTTCAAGACAATGTCTCATTCTCCCTGTGAAGCTGGTTTGAACCTGTAGGAAGCCTTCAGCATCAGTTTGGCAGTAACAGGAATTAGCAGCATTAGCTACCACTACAATGGAAATTTCCAACTATAACATGTTTCAAATGTTTCAAGGGATTCTGAAAAGCCAAATACAAAGTCATCAAATTTAAGGTTTCCAGGCCTTGTCACCCACAGTTCCTTCTGTCTGGTGATGTCTACGGACACAGACCTTGGATATGTTCTCTGACAGACATGGAAAGACAAGGGGAAGAAACAACCTCAGATTAGGAAGGACTTTTCATATTTTTACCATGGATCCGCACAAAACACCACAGGTATCAATTATCTTCGTAGTGTTCTTCCTCGCAGACTTTAGAAATTTCTCACATAAATCGTGAGGGAGGATCACAGGACATAGGCCTCTAACTTTCTGAACTGCAATGGAAAAGAGAGAAAAGTCTTGGGCAACAGGGCCTGGTGTTCATGCCCAGAATTCATCTTGAGAGCCTGGTAGAGAAAGGAAATGTCATTGGAATTCTCTCCATCAGTCCCTCCCCATGATGGAATCACAAAGTGAGCTGGGTATGCTTTCTCCAATCTCTGGGCACAGCTGACTGGGAGCTAGGATCATGGACTTTATAGCCAACTTGAGTGGATGGAACAATAGTTTTGGATGTGACTGTGAGATGAGTGTAAATGGACCACGGAAGCCAAAGACTGAAGACATGAACAAGGAAATGCAACATACTCTGTGGTGGTGCTCAGTGCTCCAGACCTCAAACACCTATCTATCAGCAAATCCTTACTTTACTGGTGAGTTCTAATCTCTCAACTGTGTGGCTGAGCCACATGCAATGGGGACTCTTAGGTTTCAGATCATACCAAAGTGCACCTGGCCTCCAGGTTTTCCCAGAATCCCTTGGCCCCTACCTGCTGTGGGCATGGCTAGGATAAGCTCTGACCAACTACCCTGTGCTTTCCAGCCCAGGGACAGGGGCTTCACTTAATTATATAATCCAGACATTTAAGTTTCCTTATCTCTCTCCTCTCACTCTGCTCTCTGTGTATCTTTCATCCTCTTCTTCTCCTCACTCCTTCATTCTCTGTGCATGATTTTCTTTCTCTCGTCTCTTTCCCCAGTACTGCGGCCAAAAGCTTCTCCCAATAAACCTGCATTTTTTATACCATAACTTCATCGTGCATTTAGCTCATTTCTGTGTTTAAATGGGGAACCAATTCTACACAAATGTTTTCCAAGTCAGAAACCTGTGGTTACTTACCTGTGCTTTCCTCTGTGGCATTTTCCCCAGGCAGCCCTTCAGATAGTGACATGCTTGGGGTGATTAACTTAGCATTCTCCTCTCTGGAATGCTGTTGTGGTGGGCTGGAGGATTTGGTTGGCACTGAGGAAGGCTGAGCTTCCTTTGCTCTTAATGTTGCACCAGGTCTTTCTTCTCCACTTTTGTTTTCTTCAGGTCCATACAAAGGATCTAATGGAAGAGAGTGCCAAGTGGAACATCCTGAAATTTTTATTTTTTATATTAATTACGGGTTATTTACTTTGCATCCCCTCAGTCCCTTACAATCCCAAGCTCTCTCCCTCATCTCCTCCCTGCCCCTCTCTAAGTCCACTGATAGGGGAGGTCCTCCTCCCCTTCCATCTAACCCTAGCTTATCAGGTCTCATCAGAAATGGCTGCAATGTCCTCCGCTATGGCCTAGCAAGGATACTCTTCCCCTGGGGGGGATCAAAGAACTAGCCACTTACCTGTGCTTTTCTCTGGGTCATTTGCCCCAGGCTGCTTGGCAGATGTTGATGTGCTTGGAATGACAAACTTAGTGTTCTCCTCTACTATACACTGCTGTTTTGGGCTGGAGGTTTTGGTTGGTACTGAGGAAGGTTGAGCTTCCTTTACTGTACATGTTATACCAGGTCCTACTTCTCCACTTTTGCTTTCTTTAGGTCCATACAATGGATCAAACAGAATAGTGCAAGAAGTGGAATATCTGGATTTTATGACCTCCCAGAAAGTTGCCTGCTCTGCTGCTTCCTCTTCTTTATTCTTCTACAGGAAAAGGATTTAGGTAAATACTTGAAATCTCAGAAGAAAAGTCTTGTCATCACAGACATGAACAAAACCTAGTTCTGTTCATGTCTGACATCTCAGAAACAGATCAATAAATCTGGTGTGGTGGAAAAGAGCCTTCAACCCCTACTCAGTTCCTATATGGATGTCTCTAGTAATAGCTAAATCTCAGTCTTCTCTACACTCTCCCCATCTCTCTGTGTGTGGGGGATATGTGTGTGTGTGTGTGTGTGTGTGTGTTTTGACTGTGTGTGTTAGCTAGTATGGATGCAAGTGCATTTATGTGCAAGTGATTGTGGAGCCTATTCATTGACTCACAGACTCCAATGGAACATAACAAGACAGTCAAAGAACAGGCTGGATAGCTGCCATGTAATCCCACTGTCTCTGTGCTCCTGATACTGACCATCTCCATTAGGTATTTTTTATATTCCCTGTTATATTTGTTTAGTAGTTTCCTCTTTAAAATCTCGGCCCTGTCAAAAACGATGTTTAGGATCTGAAATACAAAATCAAAATGGGGAATTAGAACAGTTCTAATGTGAGAAAAAGGAAATAAAACAAGTTGGGAAAGGCAGCAATAACTCACATACAGCTTGAACCCTATTCCCAGCCATCCCTCTCTTTACTGTTTTGCTGAGGCAGCATCTGACCCCTTTCCACCAAGTGTCAGGATCTGTGGATTTTCTTTGAGTACCTCCAGGCTGCTCTGGCAATATTTGTTCATCATCTTAGGCAATAAAGACCCACCTTGATGAAGTTCGATCTTCTTCCACCTGCATCCCTTTTTCGGAGTTTTGGGCCAATGTTAATTTTTTCCAAATATAATCTAAGAAATAAAGGAAAATGAATAAGATGTACAGAACATTTTGACATGGTTAAATTAGGCCCTGTGGAAATTTGGCCTCTGCATGCAGGATTTCAGAAGATCCTAGAGTTTACAGAGGAACACCCTGAAATCCAGCATCAGTCTTCATGCCAGTGTCTGGAAAAATATGAGTCATTACTATAATATTAAACTGGCACATACAGGAAATGTCAGCTCTCAAGAAACATAGCTAAGCTGTTAAGGTGCATGTTTGTCATCCCAGCACACAGGAGGCAGCACATAGAATCAATGGACCCACAGATCCTTGAGGAAACAGGTCATAACCTTGAACTTAAAACCAGGAAATAAAGACAGTGGTCCCTTTCTTCTATTCCCAATCTCAATACGGATTCCTGCTCATAGAGCACCTTTGTATATTGTTTCCCAGCAGGGCACAACCTCACCTGAGAGACCATTAGGCAATGAAGGGAGACACTGAGGGTGCTCAGAGTTAGGAGTGCATGTGCTGGGGTTACCTGGTGGGATGCTGCACCCAGGGATGCTGCTAACCTGCTTCAACGCTCACATCAGTCCAAAGGTCAAGAACAATCCATGACCCTGTCAGAAACTTTGCTTGAGAGGAGGGTATGATCAGGATAATTTTATGTGAATATGTGCTTTTTGTCACCGTACAAAAAGCTGATATCTCAGAGGACACATGAGTCCCTTGTAACAGTGATTTGTCTTTGGAATTGTAAGAAAATGAGAGAGAGAGAGTTACAACATGAACTCAAGAGAATATCTTCACGTTACAGAATACTAACAGTGGAAAACAAACAGAAGAACGCTTGTTCTAGCAGCTGTAAGAACAGGGAAATGCAAAATGTCCTGCTGAACTCATCTCTATACCTGAGTTTTCTCCTCCTCTGTGAAATAAGAATGTGATGTCTCTACTCAGCATGCACAGTCTTCTGAAGATCAGGGAAACCATGGCCAGGAAACCCCATGCCATTGCCTGAGCTCCTCAGAGTCCTGTGCATCTCCTTAGGTTCTGCTTCACCAAATTCAGGGCTAGACATGACTAGTGAGATTTTAACATCATTTACTTCATCAAACAGAGCACTCTTGTCACTGAGCCTATAAGAGTCATGATCTGGTGTTAGATTCACAATCTTGTATTTAATCTGCCTGTGTAAGAATGATGAAGAGCTTGGGAAAAATCTTTACTGTGATGAACCCCACTGACTCCAAGTGCTCTACAGTCCTCTGGTGACTGTACCTACAGGGAAGGCAACCTTCTTTCCTATACAACTCAAGAGGCTACAGGATGAAGAGAAGAGGGATCTGGATTTGGCTACACATCAGAGATAATCCTGTCCCTCAGAGGCCATTTGCTAATCAATCCCCCCACCAATTCAGATATGAGCTCCTTCCCTGCCAACTGTTATTTTCAAGGACCTGGTCATCTGGGAACAGGATTAAGAACCCCTACTCAGGATGATCTTTTCTAGGTCCCACCATTTGCCTGCAAATTTCATCATTTTCTTGTTTTAATTGCTGAGTAGAATCCTATTGTGTAAATGTACCACAATTTCTGTATCCATCCCAGAAGCAGGAAGACACAGATGGTATATATTCACTTATAAGTATTATTAGACATATAATATAGGATAATCATACTAAAATCTGTATACCTAAAGGAGCTAATCAAGAAGGAGGAACCTGGGTAAAATGATCAACCCTCATTCTGAAAGGCATGATCTTCATGGATCATGGACTTCAGAAGGGGAAGAAAACAGGGAACAGGACAGGAGCCTAACAGAGGGACTCTGAAAGACTCTATCCCACAGGCCATCAAAGAAAAGGCTGAGACTCAGAGCTAAACTTTGGGCAGAGTGTAGGAAATATTATGAAAGAAGCGGGAGATAGAAAGACCAAGAGGGGACAGGAGCACCAGAAGGAGAGAAAAAAAAAATTTGTGCACAAGCACCTTTTCTGAGACTGATACTCCAACTATGGACCATTTTGAAGATAACCTAGAACCCCTGTTCAAATGTAGTCCATGGCAGCTCAGTGTCCAAGTCAGTTCCCTAGTCATGGAAACAGGGACTATCTCTGACAAGAACTCAGTGGTCGGCTTTCATTCACCTCCCTCTCAGGAGGGTGCAGTCTTACCAGGTCACAGAGGAAGCCAATGCAGCTATTCCTGATGAGAGCTGATAGATTTGGATCAAATGGAAGGGGAATCTCCCCTACCACTGGACTGGCGGAGGGGCATGGGAGGAGATGAGATGGGACTGGGAGGGAATGAAGGAGTGGACTACAGCTGGGATACAATGTGAATAAAATATAATTAATATATATATTTTAAAGAACTCCTACTCATGAAGTTCTTTATTTATGACCACAACATCTTTGGTCTTTGTGTCTTTGAATAGGGATGAAAAGATTGTATATGAACTGCCAGAAATATGATTAAAACCTGACATTGTCAAATTCAGTAACTCTCAGCAAATGTGACAAACATGAGCAGGAGAGCAGCATGAGTTAGAGAACAGTCCCAGAAAAGGAGATAGAAACTGCTTGTTCTCATGTGAGGAATTTATGATAGGGAATAAAGGCTCCTTCTTCTTTTCCACATTCATCCAAGTCAGCTGCCATTTTGAAGAAGTCGTCTCTCAGGCTCATATAAGAAGCCTTGGAAAATTTTTTGTTGATTTTGATGTCCTGCCCTAGAGCACTTAAGATCTGGAACCACTCTTGGGGAGGTAGACTGACATCATTGTGTCTGCGGATGGTCTAAGACAAAAGAGAAGACAGGAAACATCAAAACCCATCTCCTGCCATCCATCCTCCTGCTGTTCCAGCTAGCTAGTACATAATGTTTGCTTGAATGCTTGAATGTGCTTGTGTGTGTGTGTGTGTGTGTGTGTGTGTGTGTTACATGTATGTGTGCTAGCTTCTGTGACAAATCTCTCTCTACATACATTAGAGCAAATAAAATATTATTTCTTGTGGTTCAGCTCAGTAAATTTAGTGAACAGGCACAGCATGAGATCCGCTTAATATGGTAGTAAAGTGGCAGATTCTGAACCTGGGATCTCTGTGTTCCTTGAAAACACAATGCAAATGAGCTTTCAGGTAGCATGTAACCTAAAAAGGCCTCCTTACAAACAGCCTGTTTATTGAGATTTGCACCATGACTTTACATAGTTGTTGCCATAATGTTCTTTTGGAATGTATACAATTTACTCTTGTTCATTCAAATCCTAATTTCTCTACCCTACTATCTGGTTTCAAAGTCAAGACAGCACATTGTGATGCTCACCTCTCTCAGGTTTGTGTAAACATGCCACCATTTTTTCTCTGTGTTGTCAATAAAACAATCAGATACTGCAGTGCAATGGGGAAAATAGGGTGAGACATCCTAGTCCAGAGGGTAGAGGAAGGAAGCAGGAGGGTAGGGGAAGAGGTGAGCAGGAAAGAAGTTAGAACCACATGGAGAGATGAACTGGACCTCAAATATGACTAAAATAAGTATAATGGGTAAAATCTGAGTGGTAGGAAGGTATGCAGGTTTGGAGATTTAAGATGGAGTAACCATTGTCCAACATTGTGTGTTAGGTTAATTAGATAAATCTTAGTCTCTATGTGGTGATTTGGGCATACAGAAGGGTTAGCAATAACCACTGCTTAACCAAAATACATATCAATATTAAATATTAAATACCTAAAACACATAGCTATGAGTGGTTATGCACACACTGGAGGATTATGCATACACATAAAACCAGCTCTCACAACAGAGACTTCTCCTGATATGACCAAGACAATTAGGGAGCACCTGAGCTTCCAGTCCCAGCTGGAGGCACAAGGCTTTGGGTTTGGGTGTTCCCTCTTATTTAATTAGTATCTATGATGCTCAAATCTTCAAAAACATCTGAGTGACAATGAGTAATGAAAACTCAGTTCCTGCTGTTGAAGGACTTTGGGAACCAAGGCTGAGAAACAGCAGAAAGAAACAAACCTTTGAGAACTGTCAACACCTTGGACCACAACACTGCACAATCCTATACTGTATGTGTTTAGGGGAGTTAGGGTGTTTGAGAGCAGAAATGCAAAGTAGTCTAAAGACTACCTATTTACAGTATTTACTTCTTTTCTCTATCCCACTGACAATGTAAAGAAAAGGTGATATATTATCACTCTATTTCTTTAGTTTAAACACAGAGAAAGACACTAGGAATTTAAATTTGCCAAATATGATTTCATGTAAAATATCTTCATGGTAAAGTGCAATGAAACTTACCACATTTGTTGTTCCAGTAGTGAAAGGTCCTTTGTTATCTAGACAATTATGATGGTCTGATTGTCTGGGTATCACAAAGTTCCCTCCTGTCAACAGATAAAAAAGTTTTTAGGAAAGGAGACCTTTGCTTCTCTGGGAGTTAATGTTAATATACATTAAACTATATTAAAACAATTAAAAAAGAAACAGGATTGCTTTTTTAAATAATGAAGTTATTACAATGAAGTTGGATTCAAGATGACAGCAGCTTCATGCATCCTAAGGACTTTGGAGCAGCTATAAGAAGCCCAAGAGACCCGTGAAGGCTCAGAGGAGATACACTGCAGCACAACACAAGTCTACAGAGAACACACTATCTTCAGAACAACTAAAAATGCATGTCTTTGGAGAATATTTTTTGAAAAAGTGGTCTCAAAAAATGGAGAAAATAAAGATGGCCGAGCAGAGATCCATGCATGGGGCAGAGAGAAGTGAAACTAGAGCCACAGCCACTAGCAGTGGTGGGATGAATAAGGGTTCATTTTCTGGATAGGGCCTACTAAAAAGATCTTCACTGTCTATGTTGTAGCTGGAGGCCATGGTGGTGCCCATGGTGCTTGCCTCATCCAGAAACGATGTGGCAGTGCATGTTCTCTTAGCGTCTACACCAAAAGGAAGATGCAGTCCTGGCAGGATGCCATTGAAGAGAGTTTTTAAAAACTGTGACCAAATGAGTATATACCATATGTGTTTTTCTGGGTTTCCTCACTCAAGATGATCTTTTTTAGTTCCCACCATTTGCCTGCAAATTTCATGTTTTCCTTCTTTTTAATTACTTAGTTATTCCATTGTGTAAATGTACCACACTTTCTGTATCCATTCCTCTTTTGAGGAACATGTAGGTTGTTTCCAGATTCTGGCCATTACAAATAAAGCGTCTATGAGCATAGCTGAACAAATCTCCTTATTGAATGTTGAGGCATATTTGGGTAGTGGTATAGCTGGAGCTTGAGGTAGTACTATTTCTAAATTTCTGAGAAAGCACCAGATTGATTTCCAAAGTGGTTGTGCAAGGTTTCATTCCTAACCCATTTCCCTTTAGTGGATATTTGTCGTATAATATAGGATAAACATATTAAAATCTATAGTCCTAATGAATCTAAACAACAAGGAGGACCCTAGGGAAGATGCTTAATCCTCATTCAAAAGGACAAATAGGATAGACATCAGAAGCAGGAGAAGACAAGGAAAAGAACAGAGGCCTTCTACAGAGGACCTCTGAAAGACTCTACCCACCAGGACTTGAAGAGAATGCTGAGACTCATAGCTAAACTTGGGGCAGAGAGCTGAAATCCTTATGGAAGAAATAGGAGATAGAAAGACATGGAGGATTCCATTGTGTAAAAATACCACAATTTCTGTACCCATTCCTCCGTTGATGGACATCTGGGTTGTTTCCAGGTTCTGGCTATTACAAATAAAGCAGCTATAAACATGGTTGAGCAAATATCTCTTTTGTGTACTTGAGCAAACTCTGGGTATATACCTAGCAGTGGTATAGCTGGGTCTTGAGGAAGCACTATTCCTAATTGTCTTAGAAAGTGCCAGATAGATTTCCAGAGTGGTTGTATCAGTTTACATTCCCACCAGCAGTGGAGGAGGGTTCCCCTTTCTCCACAACCTCTCCAGCATGTGTTGTCCCTTGAGTTTTTCATTTTGGCCATTCTGATGGGTGTAAGGTGATATCTCAGGGTTGTTTTGATTTGCATTTCCCTGATGGCTAATGAGGAT